TTGTACATCCAGATGCGCTGCCCGTCGTACCGGCTCCTGCACTTCATCACGTTGTTGGAGTAATCGGACTCGGCAACTTCGTAGTTGGGGTTGATGACGACCTGGGGAGCGATGGAGAAACGCAGCGCGGGGTTAGTCAGAGGTGGACTGGCCGTGGCGCACGCTAGGGTCGGCTTTTTCATTATACCATAATACTTTAACAACAGGAAAAACCCCAACCCTCAACTTATTTTGCAAGGAGACCAAAACTACTTGATTGAAGCCAGATCAAGATCACACCTTCCCCCACACACCAAGACAGACCCTCAACCACCTTCTCTACTTCTCACACGATAGCAGCACGGCCAAAAATAATCCCCCTTCCCTCCTCTCCAGTTTAAGCGGTTGTTTTTAGAACCAAAGAGTTCCCCCCCCCACTCCACCCACTCGCACAAAACAGACTGTAGGCACGGTCGTCACTCCTCACGCGCCCCCCCCGAGAACAGCTCTGTTTAATCCCCACGTGCAGCGAGATGCCGTGACGTGCGATGCGGTAACGACACGAGCTGCACGGGGATGGTGTCGGACTGTCGAGTGGGAGCTGGATGCAGCTCTCCTAGGGCTGCCATTCCCAAGCCACCGTTATTGGCCCCGATTGTTCACTTGGGGAAGGACGTGATCTGGCAACGCTTTGGTGCCCTGTCAGGTAACTATCTCTTGGGTTTCCTGGGAACATCAAACCTCTTTGTAACGAGGGGTTTATCGTGCTGCAGTCAGTGACACTCCGGACATCCCTCGGGGATAAGAGCAGAGCGACAGCGGGGTCTCAAACCCTCTTTTTCTCCCCTACCTGGAAGAGGTAATCGCCGGGTGGGACGTCAGTGACATCGATCCACTGGCAGTCGATGTCGTGACGGTACACGTCCCAGCATCCAACTGTGATTCCTTGTTCACCAAAATTGGCACATTCGTACTGTTTCTGCACATCTAAACGAGAAGAGGTGAAGGCACAACGTGATACGTTCGCAGCAAGTCAGGGCTGGGGATTCCCCACCCTCGGGCACGTCAGAGGAAGGGCTCCTTGTTCCCCACCTCCCACAACTGGCTCCAGGCACCGTATTTTGGATGAGAGGTAATGGAACAGTGTCTCGCACTGCAGTACTGCACGGGAGGAGCTGCCACCTTCCCTACCGCGTCACCCAGAGGCGCATTTTGGGATTTCTGACTTTACAGGCATTGGAAGGGGCACCCTGAGGTTTTCAGAGCAGCTCAGAGTAAGGATACAAGGAAAGCGTCTGAAAAACTCCGCATATGGGGCCTTTGGGGATTATTTTATACCTGTAGAGCCCACTCCATACATCTATAACTTCAGAGCTGGTTTCTGGCTCCTGTCAGGCCACGTTCTAGCCCTGCTCGGGACTTTTGACAGCATCTCTGGAGCCTGTCACCTGCGTGGGGACAGCAACACCTTCCCAGCACAAAGGGCTCTGGCCAACGTACCTGCTTCGCATTCGGTGTCTTCCAGGCAGAAGCTGGCTTTGTGCCCTTCCGCCACCTTGGTTCCGTTGAGGTTCAAGAGATCGTAGTGGGTGAACACCTCCATGCTGTGGTAATGCCTGCAAGGCACAGACAGGGAGAATGAGCTCTGGGGAGAAGACGCCCCTTTAGGTACCAGGCCTAAAGGGCTGCACCCTCTGCCCCAGCAGAGGTGGCCCAGGGGCGAGGGCACGACGACTTGGATGGGAGTAGCCCAGGCTCTTTGTGCCGCTGCAATCCCTCGGGCCAGGCATTCCACCTCCCGGCCCCACGTGAAGCGCTGCGGACCAAGCGGCGCTGCAGGGGGTAGAGCGAGAGGAACCACAGCCATGAAAAATATCCCCCTGGGCATAACCCTGCGTGGCACCGTCGCCCGTGCTGGCTTCTGGCCCGGGGTCTGTTTACACATCCAGTGTAAAGCTGTTCCAGGGGAGAGCCTTGGCCTTGCCCCAGCCTTCGGAGGACCACGCTGTGTTTTATAAAGGCAAGGAAGGGGGAAAAAAAAAACCAACACCCCAAAGCCATCAGCAGCCAAGTCACCATTTCTAGTGGCCCTGTCATTGACCAGAACAAGGAATATTTCATCTGCTCCTTAACAACAAACAGAGCTGGACGTACCCAGCCCAGCAACCGAGCTATTTGTATTTATTATTTCTTTTTAAGCAGCAGAATGTAAATTTATTGGCAGAAAACTGACAACAGATGGAACCAGCTTCTCTCGGCACTCGCTCCGCTCAGATCCCAAACAACCCGACAGCTGGGTTCACACATGAGGCATTTCATCCTTTTAAACGGGGAAGGTGTTAGTGTCAACTCAGCCTGGGCTGGGCTGCTCTCAGGAACACTCCAGCACTGCTGGGCCCAGCAACAGTTTGGAGAGAGCCCACGGCCTGTGCTGTAGAGCCCTGACCAGCAGAGTCAGCCCGCAGCAGTGTTTGGGGGATGCTGAACGCAGGAACGCTGACATTTTTTTATGCCACGCTGCTTGTTCAGCAAAAAATTCAGGCTCTGCTTTGGGCCAGTGGAAGTGCACGGGAGCAGGGAGCAGATGGAAGGACCTGATCCAAACGCAGCCGTGTGCTCCACGTGGTCAGGGCTGGGCACATGAACGCGGTCGTGCTGGTGCAACACATCGAATTTGATCCCAGCCTTGGAATCGGGAGCAAAGCCGCCGCGTGGGGATGTTGGGGGGGAACAGGAGAGCAACCGCGGGTGCTGAGAGCTCCTTCAATCGCGGCAGCGTCTGCCCCAGCCGCGGGGACACCGCGCCGACACACACCAGAGCCCCCCTGCACTCGACTCGGGAGCGAGGCAACTGCACAGACAGGCCCCAATTCAAAACCCAGGGCTTAGGGGTTAAAACAAAAGAAGTGCAGAAATCCTCTCCAGCTGTGAAAATAACCGTGGCTTAAAAACTTCCAACTACCACCGTTGCAGCATCGCTCTGTGCACATACACAGATAAAGAAGGAGCAAGGAGGGAAGGGGAGGAAATTTTTCCTGTAGAGAGTGGGTTTCTTCTTACCTCCTCCTACCTTTACCCTAACCAATAAAAACCCCACATTGCTACCTGCCAGAAATTAACCACTTTTCACTCCCCTGCTACAGGTCTTTCCCATTTCTGTTCTACTTCCACGTCAAAACAGAAGCTCCCAGGGTGGGGTAAGGCGGCTAGGAAAGAAGAGGCATTCTGCAGTGGCTGAGCTGTTGACGTTGAGGCTGTCTAATTTGGCTGCCTCTGATAAAAGTTTGAGGTTCTCAGGTCTGACTCAGTTTCTGAAATATGTCTGAATCACTCAAAGAGGTGTTTACATTCGGGTGTTTACAGACTGGAAAGATTGAAGAGGGATTGAGTTCATCCTCCTCCGTGCAAACAGAATCCAGTTTAAAGCACACAGATGGCTCTCGGCCTCTTCCCGATCCTTGCCCAGGCTCACCTCACTCACGCAGCCTCTCCCCAAGAGCTCCAAGCACCCTCCTTCTGCCCCAGCCTGCGACGTGCTCAAAGCCTCGCGGTACCCACGTATCCCCCCCCAGCCCCTTCCCGACACGGCCAGAAAGGCCGACGCACCGCGCTGCCCCGGGTTTCCTCCTCCCCTGAGCACACCGCTGCCCGTTTACCTTCGGGTCCGTGCTGCTGAGGTTTGGCTCTGCTTGCGCCTCCGGCGGCAAACGTTACAGTCCAGCCCGTCGGCAGGGCGAGCGGCCAACATTTGCCCCACACACTTCCAACCGGCAGCACCGCGGCATTGCCGCACCGGTGCGGCGTTACCTACACGTCTTGCCTCGCTCACACCCTTGATGAAGGCTAAAAAGGACCTGGATTTGACAATTTACTGCTCTAGCGTTTCCCCAAAACGGAAGTTTTACAGCAGCGGCAGGACAAGAGCTGTGCGCTGCGAATCCCTTAGCTCCCTTTTATCCCAAATTAGAGGAAAATCGACCTTGTAACAAGCCATCGGTTCAGAAGCGAAGCATCGGGATGGCTTAGTTCCCGTTCTCTTTCCTCCCCCTGGTTTACTTTGGCCAAAACTGCCGGCTTCCCCCTGAAAAACGCTGCGTTTATGGGGGCGAGTTTACTGTTTGTCAAAGATAAGCACCAAACAAGCTCCCGGCTGTACACGGTTTAAGCGGAGTCGAGATGCATTTGGAAAAAACTGCGGGATTGCGGCGTGTTCTTGAGTCCTTTCCCAGGTGAGGGAAGCAGCAGAGACGGCTGCATCTTTCTACAGACAGCGGTCCCGAGGCACCCGCGCCCTTCTGCCCGTGCGTACCCGGGTACACGCTGCCCTTGCACACCCACCTCTCCCAACGAGCGCTCCACCTCTGCCTTGCTCACACACCAGCTCTTCACCATCATTCCTACCACGACGAGCCGGTTTCCCCGCCGGCAGAGCACCGCAGCTGCCCTAACGCGCCTCGCAGCCACGGCATTTCGGCCCTGCCCTCCCGAATGTGTGTCCCCCCCCACCCCGGGGCAGCAGAACGGGACGGGAGGAGGCACCGACCGCGCCAAACCGCCTCGGTGGCGCTCACCGGTGACAGTCGTGCCAGACCCAGGCGTGGCGGCCGTTCTTGGGGCGGAAGTCGGACTGCCCGTTGTTGTGGATCTGGGAGGAGAAGCGCAGCAGGCGCCGGTAGCCCGACGTGAGGGAGGTGTTGACGGCCGAGCTGGCCAGGCAGTTCTCCTCCAGCGCGCACTGCAGCATGAACATCGGGCGGTCCTCCAGGTAGGCCGTCTGCTCCACCAGCTCGGCGTTGAGCACCAGGTCGGGGGCAGCTGGCGAGGAAGGTTTGGGATTAACGGCTGGGCCACTAAAACACCAACTGTCGGAGGAGGGGGGGGGGGCAGCCCCTTCGCTGCCCCGTGTTTCTCAGGCCCACCAGCACCGATTCGGCGCTGTTCGGACACGGCATAGCATGGGCCGCCCCGTTTCTCCCGCGTATCTCAGGGTAAACCCTCATGCCAAAACCAAATAAAAACCCAGTTACTCACTCTCCGAGCAGGAGACACCAGCGCCGAAACGACCGCCGCCTCTGGGACAGGAGACATCGGCTCCGTCGTGACGACAGTGGGCCAGGGACATCTCTGTCCCCGAACACTTGACACCGCTCATGACGACGTTGTCAGCGCTGATGTCGCCGTGCCAGTACCAGGTTTCCTGAGCAGAAAGGCAGAAAAAGGCGTTTCACG